TTCACCCAGGCACACTGTAGACTTGCATTGGTATGAAATGAATTTGGACAATATTATCCTTTTTTTCTATGTGACGCACAAGTGTGGTTACTACGAAGCAGTCCCGCATTCCCTTGGAAACCAGATATCTGTCATTCTTGACTTTTTTTTGGTGAGCGTAGCCAGTGCATATGCACAGCTGCATCCCACTTCTGTTTGGGGGCCACTATGTTACCAGGACAATTGATTTATTAATAGTGCAATAAATAAGGATGAGGCTGTTCATCTAAGCGATGTTTAGCTTCTTAATGCAAGTTTTTGCAAAGCATGCACCATAAATGAATTTGTTACAGGAAAGTGATTTTTCATGCTGACTGGGTGACCAGTGTTTTAGAAGGTGGGGTCATATTGTATAATGGTATTATGTTTCATTTACATTTTAACCTGTAGAGGCAATTATTGAGGAAATACACCTGTAATGGCTTTCCACTGAAGTTCAGCACTTCTATTGCAGGTTGCCCCAGAAGAATTCAAGACCAGCATCAGCCGTGTGAATGCCTGTTTAAGAAAGAATCTCCCTGTCAATGTAAAATGGCTGCTTTGTGGCTGTCTGTGCTGCTGCTGCACCCTGGGCTGTAGCCTGTGGCCTGTAGTCTGTCTTAACAAAAGAGTAAGTACATGTTTCATTCTTCTTATTCTATTTCTTTTGCAATTACTGATAACATTAAATAATGTTTAACAGTATCATCCCCATTTCAAAACCCTTTTTTTGTCTCACTTGCGTTCAAAAGGTTATTCTGTTTTCCATTCCTTAGAAAATAGAAAAAATATGTTTGTTAATGAAATAAATGATACCAAATCACTGACTGAATTAATAGTCTTAGGAATAGCTAATCCCATCGCAGTTCGAAGAACAGGATGGAGTATATGATAACCTAAATTTCCGGGATTTCTGAAGGTCTAAGAATTGAATTAAATGAGTGCAGAACTGGACATTGACCTTCAAAGACTGCCTGAACTGGAGTGAAAATTACTTTTCTTCTTCACACACCCCAGAATAAATATTTTTTTAAATTAAAAAAATCACTTTTTTGCATGTAATAGATACTGTAACATTTCAGAGCTGTGGTTTATTTGACATATTTCACTGTGCTGTTTCTATTAAGAACAAATACAAATTTCTTTTGTATTTGGGAAGTTTAAAGACTTCCTTTTTTTTTTTTTCCCCCAACAGAAAGTTGACCACTCTTGTAATCAGGTCCAAAGTAATAATTCTGAAAAGCACTTCAGCAACAGCAAGTAAACATGATCCTAATTACCTCTGTGGTGTACATTTAGAATTGATTTATCACAGCAGTAAATATTTAGGAAATACATAAATAGGTATAGTGTAATGATATTCTTTGCAGCTACATAGTGTGTAAGACTTGTAGACATAAAATCTTATTATCCACAAATGTAAATAGTACGTAGGTGCATTAGGAAAAAAAACTCTCAAACTTGTCAATTTAATTATAGGAAAAGATCTTAGATAAAAATCTGTAAAAAAGTTATACTTCTGGCTTTTGAGAGTTTATGATCTTTAATAAAACAAACCGAAAGCAAAAATGAGGAATAGGCATTGCTTTTCAGAGAAAATAAAACAGAAGTGTTGTGCCAAACTTTCCAACTTGCCAAGAAAATAACAGTTGCATTGACTGGCATTGAGTTTTTGGTTAAAAAAAAAATAATGAAATGCACTAAAGGCATAATATGTTAACTTGTTGAACTGCTAGTCGCTGAAGCCTATATCACTAAAAAGTTACAGGACTTGTTTTAGCTCATTTTAACTGCCTTTATAAACATTCTTATTGCAAAGGAATATGCTTGAGATATACAGATGGAATATTTGCAGTTTTAAAACCATATTTAATATTCTCGTGCTAGTGAAAATCAAATAAATGCCCGTGTGATGTCGTAGTGTTAATGTAATTCTCAAGGGTACACATAATATGTACTAAGTAGGAGTAGGGAAGATCCTGTTACTTCTGTGCGTATGTGTGTGTGTATATATTAGAGCGATTTGATCACTAACAATCACAAGTATAAAATGGTTCTTAATTTTCTCTCGTGGTGGGTTGAACCCAGCCAGCAACTGAGCACCCACCAGCCACTCCCTTACGTACCCCCACTCCTCCCCCAAGCAGGATGGGGGAGAGAATCAGAAGAGCAAAAGAAAAACTCATGCGTTGAGATAGAGACAGTTTAATAAGTGAAGGAGAAAAAGGGAGGAAAACCCAAGTGATGCAAGGGCAAATCACTCACCACCTCCCACCAGCAGAGCGATGCGCAGCCTGCCTCTGGGCAGCGGGCTGCTTTGGAAAGAATAGCCCCCGGTTTTATTGCTGAGCATGACGTTACGTGGCATGGAATATCCCCTTGGTCCGTGCTGGTAGGCAATAGCTGAAACACTGATGTGGTGTCAACGCTAACTTGAGTCATTGGCCTAAACCACAGCACCATGCAAGCTGCTGTGAAGAAAATTAACTCCAGCCCAGCCAGTCCCCATACGCTCATCTAGCAACAAAAGGCATTATGAGATCCAAAGGCTGGAATATGAAACTAAGACAGCTGAAACAACATGTACTTTTAATTCCAAGGATAGCTTCGTCACTGGAAAAACTTAGAAATAAGTGGTGGATTCTCCAGCATTAAGTCTTTGACTCAGGATTGGATAGGTTTGTATCTTTTTTTAATGAGACGGTGTAACTCACATACCGTTATTAGCTTTAGCAAAGAAATTGGTGGATGGAATTCTGTGGCATACCATGCAGGAGCTAGAGTAGATCATCACAGTGGTCTTTTTGTGACCTAAAAAATCCCTGTAACTCCAAAAATCATCTCCTCTCCCGCAGTTGTGGAAAGAGCAGAACATGAAGGTCATATGCACTTTGGTATCCACGAGTTGAAAATACAGACACTGTTTGTTGTGAGCTGGAGTTCTGTGGTGGTGAGATTTGAGATTTTTTTCAGGATTCAGATAACAATTACATTAGCAAAATCTGGAAATGACATGTGCGTAAATTACATGTTGTCAGTGGACCACCTGTAGTGACTGCAGCATTTGGCCAGGAGAATGTGGGAGATTCAGTTTTGCTGGCTTGGCTACAGTAGGCAAAAATACTAAATTCGAAAGGATCTCTTACTAAGTAAATGAATTCTGGGAAAGTCGCCGTCCAAAGCTCACAAAAAATCTGTGGGTGTTCTCTTTTTTTTCTGAAGAAGATCTGATGTTGAGGAGAGGGGAGTTGAAGTGGTAGGACTTCCATTTACGATTTTTCTTTTGCTTGGTTCTACTTTTATAAAACTAACTTTAAATTAATAAGCCAGAAATGCAATAGTAAGATTCTTCTGGATGAGGCTGGCTGCTGAAACAGTTTTGACTTACTTTTTAGACTAGAAGATCAATTCAGAAGTTATTAGAATGGGAAAATAACAGACTATATCATAAGGTAAGAAAAGTTAGAGTGCTTGTTTTCTTCAGCTTTAAGAATAGTAGGGGTTTTTTTTGTATAATTTGCATGTAGGAATTTTATGGTCTTGTTATAATTCCGTAATTTATACTGATCTTAAACCTGTGTCTGAAGTGTTCCAGATCCTAATAATTTGATAGTGCTAAAGCTTGTTACGTTACTCATCAAAACAATGCTGTGGTATGCATTAATCCTTTGATAATTATTTTCTTAGCTTGGTTTGCACTGGAAGCTGAGTAAAAGGAAATGCGAAACTAGCAATATGATGGAATATGTAAGTATTACTTATGTTACTTACTTGGTACTCAACATACGTAGGATTTTATAGAGAAAATACTTAACTTCCTAGACCTATCTGAAAAAATCTCTCAGAAAAACATGCAGTCATGTGTGACATACACCCGTGAAAGCCATTTTTAACACGAGCAGCCATGGCATATGTTGAGACTTAGAAATTGTCACCACTAAACATGTTTTCTCTTCATAACAATTCTCCGTTTGCGCTGCAGGCACACTTGCTTTGGTCTGTAATTTGTAATGAGGGAGACCCACGGGGACTTTGTGCATGGTGTGATTCCCACACCAGTCCATCTTTCTTTAACGCTTGTCCACCTTTTCCATTGGTATTCATAATTACTTTGATTCAAATTCTTTGTGCAGAAATATTGCATTTTTAGAGTAGTGTATTTTTTGTCTGGATTTTTTTTTTCTTTTTTGCTAGCTCTGAATTTCATAAAGTTTTAACCAAGACAGACAGTCCATTTAGGACAGCAGAATTCAAAATATTTCTGTGGTCCTACTACTCCGCCACCCACTCTCATGTACAGCTGTGAAGATTGCGTAGGCTTGAAGAAAAGAGATAGTCACCCCAAAAAAGTCAAGCGTCCAGAAGCCCTGTGTTTCAAAATGACTGAAATCTCTGCTTTGTTACTCCGGGAAACATTCCCTCCTTACAGAATATCTCGGATATGTTTAGTCTTATGTACTAGCTAATGTTGCATGGAAATTGTGCTGAAGGTTTGAACTTTTTGGTTACTGTCTTCTGTTCTTGTCTTTTTCCCTTCTTCAACAGGTAATATTAATAGAGTTCTTACCAAAATATCCCATATTTCGACCTGACTGAGGAACAGCATTTGATCTTTCATGTTACCTGTCATTTTCTACCCTTAGTGCCTTGTAGATGATTTTGGAAAGAAGATGGTCTACTTTGCTGTGACTTAAAAATGTTCTTCAGTAGAATATCTTCCTTGCTATGTTACTTTCTTTTGTTAAGAAGAGAACAATTTGCACTTTTTTTTATGTTAAATGAGGCTTCTATGTTGCACTCTGAATTTTTAACATTAACTGATATAGTTGCCACTAGGGATCTAACATCAGTGCTGCTTAAACTTGTTCTGAGCATGCTGCCTTATTAATTTCTATATTTGCTGTCCTCAAACGTGCATCTCTAATGCCGTGTCATACTATATTTCATTCTAAACGTCGCAATCCTGTAAACCCTCGGTAGAAATGTCCAGGTAAGCGTCTAGTAGTAATGATTTTAGTATAACTTGCTTGCATAGGACTTGCAATCAACAGCACTGGTTTTGTCCTGCACTTTGCAAAATCATCATTTACATTAGGGGGTTAATTACTTTACCCACTATGGATTTGTAAATATTGACTCTTTGCATAATGTAAAGTGTGGTATGCCAAGGTTTACAGAATGTAATATAGCTCTTATTCTACTGCCAACAGTCCGACATCGTTTTATTCATTACATTTGCTGGTATCCCTCTGATTGCATAGACCCAGTCACATGCTGTTTTTATGGTAAAGCCATAACGAGTTTGTACATACTATCAGATGTGTAGGGCTCAGTTGCACTTTGTTTAGTAAATGGATGAAAAATGCATAGCATTTCTGTCTTTTTTTTTTTTTTTAAGTAGTATTTCAGGTGGTGTTTGTAGCACCTGAAACAGGAAGCTTAAAAACTGTTCACCTTTGAAAAAGTTGCATTGGTGGGGTAGATGGCGGCTGCTATTAGCAAAATATCCTAAAGCCTCTTTTTAAGTTCGGAATATAGGGAGGTCAAGTTTTGTTTTGTTTTTAAGTAAGGAAAAAAATGTGTCATAATTGGAGACCTTCGTTACAAAGGAGAAGAATTTGGGACTGCCAAATCAAAGCTGAAGTAACACTTTTGTTATTTTTGTAGTGTGATAGGACTTCAGCATTTTAACAGTTAAGTGACACGGCATCCTTTCCAGTGGAAATAAATTTTTTCTAAATCAGAGTAGTGTTTCAAAATATGCTGACGGGAGGAAGTGGATCAGTTGAAAGGGTTCACGCATATGTTTTGGCCTTCAGGCACAGTCAGAAGAGCCACAAATGCCTTGTGGAATTCACAAGTATTTTTGGATTCTTCCCTGTTTGCCTGATCTCAGGAAGGGAAGTAATTGTAGAAAAACTTCCTGTAATGGCTGGCCTAAGCAAGACCGCTTCAGAATAGTAAGCAAATGAGAATTGATGCAAGTTCCCTCCCTTTCCTAACTAGAAATAAGAGATCAGAGAAGAAACAGCAGATGACCGAGTATCTGCAGGTTTGATGAATGTCATCGTAAGCGTCCAGGCGTTTCTTTGCAGCAAGTTGACTCCTTGCGACATCATCCCAAGTTGCCTTTTAGCTTCAGGGTGACTTGGGATTTCCTCTGAGTGTATTTGCATCTTTTCAGTATGCAATATTGTATTTACATATAGTATCTGTAAGACCACTGCATTCTAATAACTGTAGTAGGCCAGATTTCTTGTACACAGTGTTTACAGAAGGCCAGTTTTATGCAAGTTGCTACTTCAAATCAAATTTCGTGCTGTTCTTACTGTACGGCTGAGGAGTGTCAGACTCCAGCGCTTGCAGTAGTTTCCAATCACAGGCTGATGCTTCAGATTCTGAAATCTGTCTACTTGGTGCAGAGGTTTCATTTGACTGGTAGATTGGTGACAACTAACTGTGTAATTGCATTTGTAACATAATGAATAAAAAACTACTGTGGTGTTTGCATTTAGCGTTAGCTACACCTTGCAACTCAGATTTCTATCCCAGAACCGAGCAAAGCGTTCTCCCATTTATTTTTTTAGGATGAGTGTTAACTGGAAGCAGAGAAAAATACTTAACGGCAGAAAAATGCAGTGTAAACCAAAACTGAAATAGCACACACAATTCTCTGTATTTCCCTTACAAATAAGTTTCTGGAGTAAATGAAGGGAGCTTAGCTTAATTAACAGAACAATGGAAGTTTCTTACTGTTATGCCAGAACTGTGTTAGTAATTTTCTTTTTTTGTGTGAGAAACTTAAGAAATCTCAGCAGGTTCTTATTTTCTTCTTTATGTGACTATATTTTCAAAACATTCTTTTCCAACTGAGAGAACAGGCAAGCCGAATGAGAGTGCTAGTAACTGCCAGCGGTGAATGCTGAGCGGTCTTCAGTCTTGCTGCTAAAAGAAATCCTCTTCAGCCTGTGCTGACTTCATCGTATTCCGTTCAGAATTTCTCAGCCTGATTTGTCTCGTTTCTGTGAAGCGCTGTGCCCAGCGGAGAGAACAGCCTGAGCTGCAGGAGCCCGCGGGCCCTCTGGGCTGCTCCCCGGCCACCCCGGGCTGCCACACGACCGCAGGTCCAAGGCAGAACAAGGCGGTGGCTTTGCTTTCCCACCCTCATCCCTTTGTCCCCTTCCCGTGGGCCTGGCCACGTCCAGTGCCGCAGGCTGCTCTGCCCGTAAAGTTTACATTTTAAATATGTAAATTCTAGACATTTCACTTTTGTCCTTAATTATTAATTGTATAGTCTTCAAACCATGAAAGGGTCTCTTCTTTTTGTGTTTTAATGGACATTTAAATATGTGGCCATAAAGCAACTAGAAAAGACTATGAGAGCCAAGACTGCCATTTACAGTAAGCTCCATGTATTAGTAAGTAGATAAATTTGCATCAAAATGCAAAACCAGCATGCAGTATTATATTTGCATCTGAAAGACACAGGTTCCATAGCTCATTGAAAGAGGAAGGCAGCTGTAAGTAGTGCTGTGACCTCTGTGCACTTCTGTTCTGCCTCCAGGTTCTTTTTTGCCTGGGCTATCCTTTGCTTTAATATAAAAAACATGCAGGGGTAATTGTAGCTCACAAGACGGAAAATCTCATTTGTGCCAATAAGAAGTCAGCATGAATTGGTAAACCTATTTATGGAGGATACTTGTTAATTGGAGAAGGAATTTGTAGCAATATAACGGAGATTAATGTTAGCAAAGTGTAGTGGAAGTGGTAAAGAAAGTGCCTTGACTGGTTCCAGCAAAAGAGAAAACATTGTGCAGAGAGTAAGGAGAAAAGGGGACTAGTGACTATCAGTAGCGTGAGTTTGCAGCGGGTTTTTTAAAAGCAGTTACTGTCTACCAAGACAATGTTTAATTTTTCATATAAACATGTTGACACTCGCTTTCCTTTCTAGTTTTTATCTAGGAAATATTTGGGTTTGTATCTAGTAAGTTTTTGTATCTAAGGAGTATTGAAGTATTAAAGAATCCTGGCAGAGTATTAAAGAATCCTGGCAGAGCATCAGAGCTCTTACCTACTGATTCCACACGTGCATCTGTGAACTTGTTTTACTATAGGAGTGGGGGAAAAAAAGCATTCCAAGACATGCACGGACAAGTCTAGGAAGCGTGGATTCAGTTGTAGGTGGGTGACTTTAAAACAGAAAACATTTTTGCTACATCTGGTGTAGTCTGGATAAATAGAAAAAAAAAAAAAAAGTTCCTGTGCTTTCCTTGGGAGGTACAAAACTCCATATGCAAAACCATGAATATATGTTTATTATTGTCCCACTATGACAGTTTACTACATTTACTTGTCAACACACTACCATTGGAGCAATAAAAATGTCAAGCTATTAATATTCAATATAAATAATTTATCATTTTAGTAAGTAATGTTATGTGATTCTTCTGCCATTTTTTTGTTTTCCGCTTTTGGTGTTTTTATGGTGTTGTAACATTACTTGTACTGCTTAAGAAAAGTGGTTTTGTTTAAGCTGTATGAGACTTTGTGTTCTTAACACTTTTATTCTGTTTACAAGTGAACAGCCACTTTTTTAATAGGACCTCACATCTTGAGAGTTTTCTCCTTTTTTTTTTTTTTTTTTTTAATTAAAATAAAATTCTAACTGAGCTTGCTTTCTGCAATTTACTGCACCGGCTTGTGCCGTTAAAAGAAGCTGGAAGTCAGACGTGCTTAATCACTTTGAGACATTTTTCTTTAATTAAATTTAAAGATGAAAACCTTTGAATAGCGCAATGTGTTTATGGAAAAAAACAATCTTTTGCGTCTCTCCCTGTAGCAGCGTGCTGATCAGCTGCGGAGGGAATGGCACTAGCGGTGGGGTTTCTGCTTCTGTTGGGACTTCAAGTATGGTTTGGCTGCTTTAAAGAACAAGACTTGGAAAGCTTAGGAAGGTTTTCCAAAAAAGAAAACTGCAGAATGATCATCACATTTGGTCTTCCAGATAATTTGGTTGGTTGGCTTACAGACCCTCTGTTGTAAGGATTTCTTGTAGGAGTCTCTTGCTGCAGCATTCCTCTCGGAAAAGCAGGGGGATTTCTCCTGTGCTATTGTAGTTGCACGTCAAAGGGAGCCTAACCTGAGCATGGAGGGTGCGTGTTAGCGACATAAATCATCGCCTGATGGAGAGGATTGTGACCGTAGGAGAATGCAGCCTTTTGTGTGCGGTAACAGGCCAGCTTTGTAGCTGTGAAAGCAGGACTTCAAATTAAAGCCTTTGGCTCATCCCCTGAGGGAAAAATATCGCATTCCTGAAACGGGCACGTGCAATGTTTTTGTTGAAAGTTGGTGTCCTCAGTTGTTTTGGACGAATACAAGAGCTTGTGGGTTGACGTGCTGTTTAAGCGTGGAACTGTTACTGAATATTGTTTGAGAAATTTAGAGAATGTTACTGCGGTGTTGGGCCAAATACAGGAACGTGGGGCTGAGTCATGAAGTTAATCCCCTGTTAGGGTTTAGGAGATGTAATTGCCTAGACCAGTAGCAAAGGTCCACTTTAAGAATATTTGGGATTTGGCCCCGACTTGTACTACTGGAAGGCAGCTTCAGAACTGTTCAGTAGGGAAGCTTACTATAATGCCTGTGCCAATGTATTTCCAACCCTATACATCCGTCGTGTCAGTTTTGTTCTTCAGCTTAAATAGTTGAAGTGTTCCATCTGCGTTTATTTTTCTAGTTAAGCTTATAGAGACTTACATCCTCTTAGTCTTCATTTGCTAGACGAAATGTTAGTCTCCTCTCAAAAGCTAACTTCTCTGTTCTGATCATCCTACTTGCATTTGCTTGCGTTTATTCCAGTTTTAATTAATTTGCCTTGAGTAGCGGTGACCAGAAACAATCGGATATTCCAGATGATGGCTCATGGCTAAGGCACCAGGTATTTCAACGTAGATAGTTCCCTCTCTTCCGTGAAAATAATGTCATCCATTAAATTTAAAGGATTTAATATTGTCTCCCTAATGCCTGTATTGTATTTCTGATTCATAGCCATTATGTGATAAATTTGGGACTTTCTGTCTTCAGTCACTTCCAGTTTATAGGAGCTCCCCACGGACACTCTCATTACTAGTCCCATCAGTCCAGACTCATCGTTTGACACTTTGTACTGTCGAGTTTCTCGAGACTTGTATTACAGTGGTCCTCCCAATCCTCCAGCTCTGCTTGTATATGCGCTCCCATTCTTCCTGTAATAAAATCTGTCACCGACTGATTCCATCGGCAAAGTTAACAAAAATGTTTTTACCAAAAAGATTAGTTCCACGGTTGATGCCTGAATTCTGCTTGTAATTTTCTAAAAGCCCTTTTACTCAGCCCCTTACCTGATTTAATTTTTTATATTATTCCTCCATCCAACTGAACCAGTGATTTCCTTGTTGTAGTTTATCTGGCAGATCTAACCTATTTGGACTTTGCTGATTTACACCCGTTTGTTTTGTAAACTTGTGAACAGGGTGCATTTGGGTCTAGGCTAAACTACTGAATTTTCTGCGTTTTCTGTAATCACTGGATCTGTTTAGAGGATTAGCCTTCTAATATATTCACGTTTTATTTCACATTCTTCATATAAACCGTATGATTCATAGTAGCCTTCTTTTGAACAGTAAATTAAAATTTCTGCAGGAAATAGATTTATATATTGAAGTTCATTGATAACAAATACGACCTGAGATTTCTGCTAGAAAAAAAACCACTTTTTAAGAACACTGTGTCACATGGGATATCCAAAATTGTAATAAAATTGGGAGGAGGAATTACAGTAGCTCTCAGATGAAAAAGAGTTTAAAATTAAATTAAAAGGCATATATTAAAGGTAATGACTGATCTGTATTTAGTGCAAATTATGTGATGTGCAAGCCTAAACGAGTAACTGAAAATTGCTGGTTCTCCAGACAGGATCTACAGGGATATCCTTGGACATTGATGACAGTGAGGTGTCTGAATAGGGCAACGAAAGTGAAAAGGACTTCTCATTTGGGCAATATTGTAGACAACGCACTAACAGGCCTAGTGGTTGGGATGGGTGCCCGATTTGAGATGCTTTGAAACCATAGGACTTGCAGAATATGGTCTGTTAGGGCTTTTTGTGAACAATAACACTATGGTTGAGTGCATAAAATGGGTCAGAGTGCACAAATAATACTGGGAACGGCTGGGAGAAACCACGGCGATATGGTACAGCTCAGCAGTGCGGGGCAGCTCATGAACTCGTTTCCTACATACCTGAACATTTCATCCTTCATCAAAGACGAATTTATTTTGATCTTAAAATAACAGTCTGTTGGATGGTGAAATCCATAGCCCCGGAGGGTCAGTCCACAGCCTAATCTGAGCTAGATTGTGAAGTGCGAAGCTGTAAACTGAAAACTGAGAAGGCGGTTATCCCAACTGCTGTTTCCATCAAAGTACAAATAAGTTCCTTTCAAATCTAATTTAATTCCTATTGGGTTTTATTTTTTTTTTTAGATCATTCACAAGTGTTTGTAAGGTTCAACTGCTGTTTTGGGAGCATCTGGGGAAAAAAAAAACCAAACAACTATTGTAAAAGCTGTTAATAGGCAACAAGAGTTGTTGGCCACTGCTGAGGCTCTTCGTATGAGTGGCAGTTTTCCACCTCAGCGTGAGTTGATCGGGAACCGTTGGTAGTGTTCAATCAGGGGATCTCAGGGGCCGACTCGCAATGTACTTCGGGAGCCCTGCGGAACAGTTGTCTTAACTCCTATTCCAATTGCTACAGCGAGCATTTGTTCAGCATTTCTTTCCACCTGTAGCAGAAAGCAGGGGACAACGAGGAGGAATGGATCTTAGCCGCACTTGAACCACAAAGACCACAAAAAGAAGAGACGCTTCCGAGGTAACTTTTTGATACGCTATTTTTTGTCATTGTTGAGTGCATGGAAAAGGTAACTCACTTTATGATTGTGTATAATTTTCGGTAGCATTGAGTAGTGCTGAAAATCACATTGCTGTAAGGTTTCACGTAGTACTGATGGAGTTAAGAGCTTTGAAACACACAGAGGGTGATACTAACTGGTACAGCTAAAGGAGAAGTACCAGATGGCTTTGAATGGCAGAAGAATAAGCATCAGGCTCTACATCTTGAGGGTGTAAAATGCGAAATTCGCCGAAGAGCTGCAAAGCCAGAAATGGGTTGTGTAAATCCCACCCAAAAAGTACTGAACCTCTTCCACAGTGTCACCAACTGTTTTGCGAGTACTGCTATATTGGCAGAACAGCTGTTAGGACTTGTGAAATGAACACAAACAGCAGCATTATTTGCCTGCAGTCCCTTCCAAAAGCCTCTCCGGCAGTTCGCTGGACTCCTCGAGCCCGTCGGGGAGCTCCTAGGCCCACGACCGCCAGGCACAGAGCCGCAATGGCTGTTCGTGCTCTTTGCTCTCCGCAGGGAGCTCACTTCAGTAGCTGAGGCTCTCCGGAGTCTCAGCCTTACCAGACTCATGGTGAAAGGCTGAAGGAGATTTTGATATTTTAGAAAACTCTAAATGTGACATCCGCAGTGCCAGACACCGCTGTTTTAAAAGGCAGGCGCTTGGCTTGGCTTGGGGAGCAGTTGTTAAACCAAGCCTGTGGTGCGTGTCAAGCCCTGGGGAGCAGCACCCCGCATCTCGTCAGTCAGGGTGACGCTGTAAGGATGACAGACCTGCAGCTTCGGCTGGCGGGGGCGGG